GAACGATCGAAAAAGATTCGATAAATTCGATAAAAATACATATGAAGGATCGAACAAAGGATTTCGTTCAAAAGGATTAATAAATTCGATGGAAAAGGAAATTACGAGCCGTTCCACGCGATATGCAGATCATCGATTTCGAACGACGAGAAGAACCCGACACCGGCTGCTTCTCCCGTCTATTTGGACGGAAGGGCGGAAATGGAGTAAATACGGGATCAACGGAGGGATGGTTGCGTTCAGTTTGTTTTTTCCCCTGGCAACAAAGGGTCCGCGCGGGATCAGGTTCACGGGACGTGAAAAAAGGGGGAAATGCAGTTATTGTGTTGCCCTCAGGATTGAAATCGTCTTCTTTCGCGAGGAGCGTGACCGTTTCCAACGGAAGATTGAAAGGGAAGATGGGAGGAGGGATGTTGGAGTCGAATAGGAATGGCCCCTGAAGTGTGAAAAGAGTACGTCGGGTTTGAATCGAGGTAAATATCTCAAGGGAATTGATGAATATCGCATCTCTTTGATGTAAATAATATAATTGTAATAATTTTGAATAAAATATAAGGTGATAATATTTAACATATCTTTCATTTATTTCACTGTATCCTATTTTTTATCTCGTTCTTAAATAATGAGATTATTGCAAGAATGAAATAATAAATTTATACGTGAAAAATTTCTATCGTATATACAACTTTTTCATAAAATGAATATATATATATATATATTTTTTAAATAATTTATACAATTTATTGAAAGGATATCGATAATCTTGGTTTTATTTATCCTGGCACAATTTTTATCTTCGATTTAACATCTCTCTATCTCTCTCTCTCTCTCTTTTGTAGTTAACGATAAAAATAAAAAAAATAACAACGCTTGCCAATTCAATTCATTCATCATCGCACAATCGATGATGCAAATTATGCAAAACCCGAATTGTATTCACGACGAAACATTTCCACCTTTTTACCCAACAGAAAATTAAATCGATCTATACACCCCACATATATCATCCATCCCCCGAAAAACAAAAAACAAAAAATAAATCCAAATCACAAATCAACCGTCAAACCCACGAGACGATTAATATCCAACGATAACCCGCGATCATAGAAAACATACCTGAAACACGAGGGCAATGAACGCGAGAGGAATAATCCGGAAACGGACAGTTGGGATAAATGGATCCCACCTGATTCGGATCTGAGACATCCATCGAATCTCTGCGACAATGAAAATCGTGAAGATAATCGATACATAAATTTTCCAACCGAGGATCGTTGGATCGTAAAAGAAAGAAAGAAAAAAAAAAAAAAGAAGAAAAGAAAGAAAGAAAGAAGGTGTAAGACACGGGGGAGGAAAAAGAAGGGAAAAAGAAGTCGAGAGCAGAGAAATCGACTGGGTCGCGTAAATCAAGGTGGGTGGCCAGGTCGATTCCTCTGCAATCCCTACTAGTTCGTGAGACTTCTATCACTGGTGGTGTTTTATCGAGCGGTTCCACGGCCTACCTTCAACCTTAAATTACAAGGTCGCAGCTATAGAGAGGCCGGCTATAAAGCACCAGGTATCCCCCGGTGTGTAAGTCGTCGTGTCAGGGACGAAAACTCGCCGCTAACGAACAAACGCTCTTGGCTCGAGCTAAGGGTTGTTTCTACAGGGTATTTCAAAATTGAAGAATTTTTCCTCCAGGAAGAAAGAATAAGAGAGAATTTTTGTATTCTGAAAAATTGTTCTCTCTATAACAGAGTTTCTTCTTTCCATAAATTTTTATTCGTGAGAGTAGTTTAGTTGGCAACGGTAAGGGTGGTTTTGTACAAGATTCTTCGAAATTAAAGATCTTTCCAGGGAATCTTTATCCGGAAAATTTGTTTTCTAGAGAAGTAGTTAGGAGAGAAATATTGTTAACAAAAACTCTATCGAATTTGGGTTTGAGCTTTTTCAAAAATTGAAGATTTTTTAAAGGAGATAGAGAATGGTAGAGAGTGTTTCGAAATTGAGAATTTTCTTTTTTTAAATTTGTTTCTCCATTAGAAAACTTTAGTTTAAGAGTATCTTGAAGGATTTCTAGTTTGCTATAAGTGAGAGTTCAGATTATAGGATTTTGAGGATTAGCAGTTAGGATGTGTTGGGGTGGAAGGATTATTAGGGATTTAGGCCTTAAGTTGAAATTCTGAGATTAAGTTTTGAAATTTTCGTTAGAATGTTTTTAAAACTCTAGAGATAAAAATTTTATTGTTATAAGAGTATCATCAAGGATCAAATTTTTTTCTAGAGAAAAGAGATTCTATTCTTTTCATTATTTCGAAATAAAAGAATTTGATTTCTTAAAGTTCGAGACTCTAAAAATAATAGCTCCTCAGAATTTAGAAATCTCGAATTTAAGATTATATATCTTAAGATCTTGAAATTTAGCGTTCTAAGGATTGCTACAGTCTGGAATTCACTGGAATCTAAAATCCTAGGATTAAAGACTCTATAACACGAATTTAACTTCTAAGTATCATTTTAATATACATTCACTATTGTTATTCAATTCTCAAATGAGTTTAACAAGTGAAATCAAAATATTTCCACTCTTAATGAAAATATTCTTTAAGAATACGAATTTTACAATTTAATTTTTTAATTTAAATTTACCATTCTTTCTTCATCCAATTCTCAAATAATTCGTAAAACATATTCTTATTAAAAATCTACTTATCCCTTAGTAAAAGTATCAAATTGAAATTTTTAAATTAATTCCACAGATACAATGTTGTTCTTCCACCATTCGTTATTTTTCTCGAAACAACATTCAATGTTCAACGATCCACAAGAAATGGATCCACCATCCCCCATCACGTCAATTCTACATTTTCAACTCCGTTACAGTTTCAATACGGTGATGATGCAGCACGAACGCATCATGCACGTTAATAGGCAATAGAGGAATGTCACGAGATCTTACGCCATTTCCACCATTCCGTTGGATGAAATACGGTAACGAGTCTGATTCATAGAACGATGAGGAAGAGGGAGGGAGGGGATGGTTAAATGGAAAGCGATTTAACCCCTTCCCCCCCTCCCCTCGGTCCAGATTTATTTTGCAATTTAGCCTGACAGTATGCTGTTCATCTCGCGAATCTGTGATTCCAACTTAAATAATTCATAGCCCCTAATACGAATAGTAATGGCGACCGTTTAAAATCCCCGTGCCCGCTGAAATATTCAGGTCGCGGCCACGAGCATTTTCCTGCACGTCGGCGACGAATAAACGAAACTATAACTGTTTATGCGGCTATTGAATTAACGATTGTAAATCAAAACGACACCGCGAATATTTCAACCGACGACAAGCCTCGGCCAATCATTATTAAACGAACGCTGTTGCTGCTTGGCCAATGAGAGAGTAAACAGGGGGGATGATGATGTTGAAGAGTTGAAGAGATAGAGAAAAGTCTAAACTGAATTTTAGGTTATTGAAATATATTATATCGAGAAGGAAAGAAAGAATTCAAAAAAAAATAACAACAGCAAGTAATTTGGCACTTAATATCGTTTAATAATAGTTAATAAACTCGTAAGTTTAAATTTTCTAAATATTTGATCTAAAATATTCTAATCAAATTACTGGAACTTTTCAATTTTCCACAAAATTGTATAATTCAGAATAACACTATAAAAAAAATGTTTCTAGAAACTTTTTTAACATCCCCTTTTTTTACAACATTCTCTATTTCCCTCGTTTAATAATAATCTACCAATCTTTATTTTTCCTTCACGTTCAAAAACAACTTGCAAAAGCTCTCCCCTTCGAAAAAAAAGAACGAAACTCTAACGAAACCATTTCCACCATGCGTTCTATAAAGTTGTATCGATGAAAAAGAAAAGGACAAGGAGAGAAAGAGAGAGAGAGAAAAAAGAGAGATATAAACGAAAAGAAACCGCTGTGTCTCCTTTTTTACAACATTCTCTATTTCCCTCGTTTAATAATAATCTACCAATCTTTATTTTTCCTTCACGTTCAAAAACAACTTGCAAAAGCTCTCCCCTTCGAAAAAAAAGAACGAAACTCTAACGAAACCATTTCCACCATGCGTTCTATAAAGTTGTATCGATGAAAAAGAAAAGGAGAAGGAGAGAAAGAGAGAGAGAGAGAGAGAGAGAAAAAAGAGAGATATAAACGAAAAGAAACCGCTGTGTCTCGGGGCGAAATGCAAGATCCCTCGAAAACGACCCTCGAAATCCCGAATCGTCGTCGATGGTTTGGCGCGAAACGCTCGTTTCACAGAGGGGCGGCGATTCAGCAGAATCGCCAAATTGCTGACTGCCACCACGCGCTTCTGTTTCCTGTTCTCGCGGTTTTATCCGGCGCCACCCCCGGCCTCCCCGCTCCCGTGTTTATACCTCCTTCGGCAATATGCCCCTCCTCGACGTGGGACGATTATACGCGTCATAATTTCCGTTTAATTGACTAATCATCCCGGCCCGTGACCGACAACCACGGCGCAGAAACGATATCCGGAAACACGCGGCCTACCCACCTGTTTATTAGCTTATTAGATTAACGCGCGAGGCATTATCGAGGTTATTACACCGGGGATGAAAATGTCCGCTCGATCCCCGGTGTAACCACCAATCTTGTAATTAAAATTTGTTGCTCCTACGCTCCTAGTTAGGAAACTTTGATCGCAAGCCACGATTATTATATAGTTGGCGAGATGTTAGATATTGAAGAGTAAAGTGTGCAAGTTCTCGGTGATCTATCGTTGTTCGATGGATAATACATGCTCCGTTAGGGAATTATTAAGGGTATTACGAGACGGGGTTATTCGGCTATTGTAAGAGCTATTATTTATTTATTCCTTTTTAGAGGATTATTAGAAATTTTGTGTTAAATTAAATGTATAAATTAATTCAGATTTTTATGATTGCCAATGATTAATTGATTCTTTGAAAATGAAGAAAAATATATAAAAATTAATATAAGTTTAGAAATTATGTGTGTGGAAGATGGAAGGGCTTACCTTGGCACGTTTGGAATATTTCAAGTATTGGTAATGATGATTGTCATAGTTGAAAACGTGTGGTGTCAACGTTATGTCACGATTTCGCATCTTGCCGGAGAGAGCCTTTTGTCGTTGCAGTTGCATCTTCTTGTTGTGGGCACGAAGATCAGAAGCTGGGAAAAAAGATCGATTTTTTTAATCAATACATCGTTCCACAGGATATAATAAATTAGAAGTAAACAAATCAAATTTCCAATCTCTCTTGTCAATTCAAAAAATAATAGTTTCTCGTGGAAATTTGTGTTTCAACAAAATAATAATTTATTACTTTTAATTATTTTTTTTAACGAAGGGGAAAATATGTTCTATTCTCTAGCCTCCTACGTTGCGAAAGAAATTATTGAATATTATCGAAAGAGAGATCGATAGAGAGAATGTAACTATGCGAAAATCGTTGAAAATTTAGTGGGGGATGTCGAGGAAATTCGGACGACCAAACGAAAACTCATTAATCGCGTGTAAATAAATGAGCATTTGCATTCGACACACGCGGCGACACAAGCTTTTCGATGATTTTTAAACAAACGCGACGACGTTGCAAACGCGATAAAACTCGATTGTCGACGTTTACACGCCTGTTTCCGAATATTTTATGCCCCGTTCACGGTGGCTTTATTAGTCCACCTGCGTTTGTTTGTTCCAAGCTTAACTACAAATTGTGTTTTTCGTTTGAAAATTGGGGGGAGGGGGGGGAGGAAAAAAAAACGAAATAAAAATTACTCGATTCATTATTATTGCATAACGTTCGAGGATATCCTACCTTTGCAAATATTCCGTTTGTCGATCCTTTCAAACAACGTATCAAACTCCATTTGATCGTGAATATTTTGCAAATACGTGTCGTCACTTGTATCACGTTTTGTAATTTTGGATTGACGTTGATAGATATTTTGACTTCCGGTTTTCAAATACCGGATCATAAATTTGGATTTTCTCAATAATACGAGATAATTTATTATTTCGTTGAAATATACATGATGACTTCTTTTTCCCCCATTATTTTGAAACTGTATTATTATTACGAAAGTTGATCGATGGATTTTACAGTTTCTGATAATCGTTTATCGCTTGATAATAGAGAATTTTATTATTAATTATATTTTTCTTGCACGAAACTTCAATGCGTGTCTTTATTGCTTCATTAATTATTCCTTTATGTTTGTATTTTCAACAAAATTTGAATTATTCTCTAATTCAAGAATTTTATTAGGTTATGTTTTATTACCAAGTCCATGTTATAAAATTTCCTTTTTTTTTTTATTTGATTTTAGAATAAACACGCGTATCTATTTTATGACATTAATCATTCTTTTGATTTTTCTTTTAAAATTTAATATCGTTTTAATATCAATTTAAATTAATATCGCTATCTTTATTGAAATGAATTACAACTCAAATGTGAATAATATAATTTAAAATTCCTAAAAAAAAAAATAAAAAAAAAAGATTCTTGTTAAGTTAATTGTATTTTCTTAGATCTAGATTCTTTCGACATTACGAATCCACGAGATAATTCAGCCTCGTACGCTTTAACACTGACATTATTGTTCTAACAAGCAATTATGAATATTCATGGTGGATGTTTGTCCCTGGTAGCAGAAAGAGGGACGCAAACAGAGAGTCCCACTGTTAAACCGACTATGCGTGGCTGCCTATGAATAAACTAACGAATTAATTTCACATGTAAAATTAGAAAACGTCCAAGCGAATTCGAGATTACGAAATGATTAAAATAATTAAAATATTCCTAATTCGTGCTTCGTATTTTTCAAAATGTTTGAATTGAAGAATAATATTACGATATTAATAAAATAGTTATATAATTAAAAGAAGAGAAAATATATCGTATATAAAATTGTTGCAGACTCTGAATTGAAAATTCGTTGTGGAAAATTGATCAGAATATTTTTTCTTTCTTTCTTTTTTTTTTTTTTGTTTCGATATCGACATCGACATCGAGTCTGAACGCTGATACGCCTCGAAGTAGAATCCTAGAACCATTAATTCGCCTCTCAAAACCTGTCTGCGATAAATCAAACCGGCTTCCCGGATAATAAATCGAGTTTGCTTGCCCTATATTCAGGGTTGTGGGTGTCTTCTTTTTCTTACACATGATGGACAAAAGTTCGTTTCTTGTTAATGAAAATTATATCAATCTCTTATGTTTTATGGGAGATAAATACGAGAAATAACGATTCGAAAATAATGAAAATAACTTTAACTACTTTACGTTACGTCGTGAGTAAAATCGAAAAGAGAAGATCTTTATCAATTTCTGTTTTTCCCAAGAATAATTTAGAATAATTTATATCTTCATCTTTTTTCTAAAACATAAATTTTTTAAAACAAAAATATTCAATCTATCGATAGATATTGGCCTCAAACATTCGTTTGATATTGCGAATATAAAATTTTATTACGAGTACGAGATTTTTGATGAAGTTTCATCCATGGATTCAACCTGTGCGTGTTCGATATTAAAAAGGGGTTAATTTGGACGATTGGAAAAAAGAAGTAATTAGGAAGTGAATGAAATCGGCGAAAAAACTTCAAATATGTTCCTGATATCTCGAGTATTTTAAACAGCTTCTACGCGAAGTTGACCTGAATACTTGGTTTGCACGCGAAGAAAGGGTGCCGCGGATAAATTGCACGCGAGTTCCTTCAAGGCTGAAAGAACTGTAAAATTCTTCAACTCTACAATCCAGGGAAATTTGATTTAATCTTCTTGCATTATCTTGAAAGGTTCCTTGTGCTCATGGCCCCATATGATTTTTATATCTCTTAAAATTTCGAATCGATTTAATATTTCTTTTTTAGAATACAAAGGGTGCAACAAATACAAAGCTTTCCTTCCATTCAAATCTTATTGATCTTCTACTATATATTGATTATATTTCTTCATTCTACTTTTCTCCCACTTCCCAAATTCGTGATGGTAAAAAATTTTATTGGAACGATGCTACAATATTGACTTAAACATTCTAATATACTTCTAACTATTCCAAGAACGAAATATCTCTGAAACTCTTCCAAAAAAAAAAAACCAATATTAAATAATTTCCCTGTATCCATAAAAAATCGTCGATTATACCTCTACTCGTTATAATTCCATCCAAATTAATTTTCATCCAAAGAACAATTTTATGTCATATTCCTCGGCGCCGATTTCCGTTTGGAAAAACGATTTCACGGAGGGGCGTGTGGCGCGTCCTCACCTTTGCAGGGGCAGAATCCTTTGCAGGCGATGCGGACCGACGTGTGGTGGATGCAATTGTGGTATTCCAGCCGGCATGGGGAGCTGTACGTGCGATTATCGCTTCCGCAAAGGAACGTCGGCTTAACCACGGGGCACTCTTGACATCTGGAACAAAAAAAACGGCGCGCGCCGTTTTAAACGGAAACTGTTCCACGCGCAACAATTTAATTGCTCGAGTGTGTTTCCTCCCTGCTATTTTCCACCGTTCACCATTTTCATAACTTCTGTTTCCACAGAGAGTTCGCGCAGTTAGTCGGTCGTTATTAAAATACCGCGGTTTCTCTCTTTCCGACGTATTTTCTTTTTTCTTTTTTTTTTTTTTTTTTTTTTTTTTTTGTAGAATTTCTCTACTTCCCCACGATTATCGATTAACTTCCTCTCGTTTCCAATCTTTTCTTGGAGAGGAGGGAAAATCAGAAGGAGGGAAAAGTTGTGTCGCGCGATTGCAATAGATTAATTTTCCAGTTTTTCGATATATTTATCTTTTATTTCTATTTTTCTTTCTAATCTTAAACGATATCTGTGTGTTATATCGATTTAGTTAATAATCTCATCATTCAGTGCTATCTTTTTTAAATCATTAAACGAAATGTATGCTACATGTATAAATATAAATAAGGAAAATAATTTCTTTAAAATTATTTATATGTTTCAACCGCGTATAACACTTTTATATGTCGCAATATGGTGAAAACTAATTAAGCGATTTTTCATTAGAACAGTGAAACTTTATTAAAAAAAAAAAAAAAAAAAAAAAAAAAAAAACAGGCACATACACACACACACACGCACAAATTGGACTATTATTTCGCGATGAATAAAAGGTAATTAAAAGATTTCATATCGCGAAAGAATATTTTTCACCGCGCAACAGAGCAACTCTATTAAAATATAAATTTGACTGTTACTACCCTCCTGTTATTATTATATAACGTAATAATGTCGATAAAGTCGCGAGAGGGAGGAGAGGATGGGTAGCTCTTTGTCAAAATTCTCCCGCCATTTTATCGTCTCCCCTCCCCCACGTGAGGAGGGGGAGGAAAAATTCCGGAATTTCCGAGCTTCATAATCATTAAGCAGTGCATCGTCGTAACACGAAATTACCAAGGCCTTTTCCTTTACCCAGCGCAAACAACGTTGCGCTAGCCCCGTGAAAAGGGGTGTCTCGTAAACTGGAATACTATTATAATGCGTTTAGTGGTGCGCGCACGAGCGGCCATGTTAATTATAATTTTATATTATTACCTCCCGCGTATATTATGGCCGTTAAATTTTCTTGCTTAGAATTCCCTTAACGAAAAATGGTCACCGGAAACCGGTGGGAGAACACGGAAGAGGTGTGGATAAAAGGCTGGTTCAATAGTTCAGACTTTTAAAGACGATATTCAATCCCCGTTGTGTCGATTATGAAAGCATTCTTGTGCTCCAAATTTGTTTTATTAACGTTATATATATATATCGTATAAATTATAATAAGTGTTGGTTGATGATTTAAAATTGTAAAATAATAAATATTATCGTTTTTCTTTTTTATTATATACGTATGTATGTGTTATTTAACGCGTTTTTTCGTGTGCAGATGTGTAATTTAAAGAATTAATTTAACCGTTAGTTCTTTTTCTGTATGCACGGTAAAATGTACGGTTTTACATTAGATACGTATATATGGCTCTGCACGATGAAAGCTTTTGTAAAAGCTTTTCAAAATTAGCTTTTCAACTGTATAACTTTTTTTTTAATGTAAATTTGTAACGTAATAAATGTCTTATAAATGTTATTGTAATTGTCTCTCGTAATTGTAATAATTTTTTTTTTTCTTTTTAGACGTCTGATTGATGTTTATATATCTATTATATATTTCGTCTATTCTTCTCGTTCATCTCAATTTTTTTTAGCGTCACTTAATCGATCAACGAAAATTATTACACTTTTTTTCTCGAGTAAAATTTTGCACAAAAACTAATATAAAATGTATCGTTTACTTAATCATTAAATAAAGAACATAATCAATTGAAATATATTACTTAGCAAATTATTAGAAATAAATTTCAGTTTTAATAATAATATATTATCATTACATAGCAAAAAAAAAAATATATATATATATATTGGACGATATATTTATTCTATATCTAGCATGTAGAGAACTTATGGTGGTACAGTATGGAGGTATAATAAAGAAGGGTCCCTTTGCGGATTCGGTTACAATACCGGCTAGGTTGGGCCTCGAGAATTTGTGGTTGTCGGCAAATGCATAATTAGTTTAAACCGAATAACACCGTAATTAAGCTGGTTTAACTCCTTTATCAAGATGGAGGCCTGCGGCTTTTCGGTCTTGTCATTTCCAAGAAATTCGCCCCCAGACTTTAGGAGGGGAAGAAGAAAGGTTGTAGATAGATTTTTTTTTTAAAGATCGCTTAATATTTTCGACAGACAACTGTGGGTGCATCGTTTCCTCGTATAATGTAACATATTTTTCCTCAAATATTAAAAAAATATTTATATTTCTTTTTAAAATCTTCCATCTTTTTAAAACGAATTAAAGTAATAAGATTTTCATTTTTCAGTCGAGAAGGAGAATTGAAAATATTTTTTAGATATATCGAATCTTTTCAATGAAAAAAAGAAAAAAGATAATATTTTCCATCTAGATTTTCATAATTGAAGGATCCCATAATACATTTTCATAAAGAATTTGCTTTAGAAGAAAGGTTTTAAAATTATGCTATATTATATATAACATATAAACGAAATATACCTTATTGGTTTCATTTTATTTTACGCAAAATGATAGATCTTGCAATAATGTGTATCTTTATGTATTTGTAAAAAGAGGAATTCAACGATATATTTGCTTTTACCGAAACTTTATATTTATGAAACAAATTGCAAAAACAAAAAGCAGGATAACCCAGTTAAATACGATTTATTTATAGCAGATAACATTCTGAATATTTTTGTTATAAACTAGGTTATGCAAATTAACGCAAATTTATTTATTTTTGTTATCGGATTAAGTTTGAGTTACCTTAGCCTACTTTTATTTTATTTTTAAACCATCGTTTAACTTATCATGTATGTATATAACAAATAACATAATTAATACACTCCGATCGAAAGACGAATATAATAAATTGTGATTGACGAAACGATTCGTCAATTGATAATCACAATATGGCAATTTTCTTTTCCAATTCATCAAATTGTTAATCTTATCTCCTAGATTTTTTTTTTTTTTTTTATTAACCTAAGCTAATCAAAAATTTCCCTTGAAACCACGCGCTCGAAAATTATTGCCTATTCGATTATTCAATCGGCCCGATAACGACAGAGTCGATTGGCTACGTAATCTCGATGCCTGCTTCCGGGAACGAATTAATTCGCGCGTACGTTTCGATTGCGCTCGTGCAATTTCGTTCGCTCGATGAAACGAAAACCGCCGATCGTAATTAATCGTCGTTCGTCGTTACAGATTCGTCAATCGTTAATTTCATTCCTGGCCTGCTATTTTCGTGGGGAACGGAATCGTTTCTTTTCATTCTCGTTACATACATCTCTCTCTCTCCCTTCGGTCAAACAAACTTCCCCCTCTATATTAAACAGAAAAATTACTCGAAATATTTTAATATTCCCATTGATTTTTCCGAGCACCGCCGCTCCTTCCAATAATTTCACGCTAGAAGAAATACCCGCCCGTGATGATTCTTTTCTATGGAAATTTCTTTCTTTATGAAAATACGAGAATAGGGGAAACTCGAATCGAATCTTGTTGCACGAATATTGATATTTACAGAGGGGATGATGATGATGATGATAATAATAATATATTCGCAACTGAGTTGGATGTATATAAATCGTTTGTAAACGAATATTTTGGAAATTTTGTTGCGTTGATGCGCAATGAAATGCCACCTCGCGAATAAAATTTTTAAATTTTAATTTTCGTTCGTGTATTATATTTTAACGTGAGAATAATTTTGCGTGTAAATTGTAATGAAAATTAGGATGATTTATTAAAATAATAATCGTAGATCGCAAAATGTGTGCATGCGAAATATTAATAAAAGATTTATTTATTTAGCACAAAAAAGTTTTTGTAATCGCTATTCACAATTTTCTTTTTTAACATTTCTCGCGTTTTTGATAAAATTTAAAAAACTTGAAGTGAAATTTAATTGCAAATTTCTATCAATTATTAATATACGTCACGCATGCATATTACGATAATAATATCTTATTATTTTTTACTGTATTAATTATATGATTAACTGACTTAAAAAAAATTTGATAAAACTATGCCATGCTAGAAACACTTATACTCGTTCCATTATTCCAAATATTGCTCGAATATTTTTTTATCTTCCTCCTCCACTTCTTCCTTCCCCCTCAGGATATTAAAATTTTAAACAAATCTCCACCTCCAAATATTCGTTTCTTCCACGTCTATGACTCCTATAACAGCTGCATCCCTTGCTAAATACCGGTGCTTAAGGGAACGTCAAAGAACGAGAAAGAACAGAAGATAAAATTACGAGGAGGAGGCAGCAGTCTGTGCCTTCACGAAAGAATAAAAAGAAGAAGTTTCATCTTCAAGCGAAAATACTTCTTCTCGGAGAAGATGAAGATCTTAAAGACCGTTCTAAAGAAGCTTCTCTCTTCACATCCGGATGGATTTTCGTCTGTCCAACCGCTGTTTCCACGGATGCTTATTGCGACCGAGCATCGCGATGTTCGAGGCATGGATGTTTCACCAGGACGTTTCAAGTGCCCTCCTCCTCCTCCTCCTCCTCCTCCTCCTCCTCCTCCTCCTCCTCCTCCAGTTTTGAGGTCTCGTTTGAGGCCGACGATAGTACGCGTCGAAACACGACGAAATGTTACGAGCTCGTACAAGCGAATTTACACAGCGCTGTTACATACATCTCGACGTTTACCAAAGTTTATTTCCGACGAAACTGCTCGCTAAAACGCGATGATGCGGTTTTAAAAGCTTGGCGGGTATGTACGGTTGATGACGTGGCGTCGATGGCGAATTATGCGAAATTTTGTTCCGTGTGCACGTGCATGCATGGTATTTGCAACGCTTTCGAATAAAATTAATAATGAAA